AAAATATAAAATGAAGAATTAAATCTAGTAAGTCAATAGTAAAGATAAAATGGAATTATTTGGGAGGAAAAAAATTCAATCCAAAAGAAAATAAGAAGGGAACAAAAAGCAGATAGGACAAAGATAAAATAAATAGCAAGATGGCAAATTTAAATCTAACTATATTGATCATTAAATTAAATATAAATGGTCTAGACATTTAATTGAAGGGCAGAGATTTTCAGATCGGATAAGAAAGCAATGCTCAATGCACTACATATGGTCCACTGTCTCTTAACTCTAAATCTTCCTCCCTTTATCGCCCTGTTTGTGATACTATAATGCCACTGGAATTATATTAAGCTTTATCAATAGAGAGCACAGTAGAAGCACTTTATTCTTTGGAGTTCTCTTTTCCCTTTAGTAGGTAAACCCATGTTATGGTTAATTTTTTTTATATTAAATTTCTCCTGTTATAATTACTGTATTGTTTTTATACTCTGTTTGGACGTATCCAACATAGAATTTACACTGGGAATGGTCCTGGGAGATAACCCCACAAAGATAGGATTTAGAGATTTATTTGGCTGTGCTCTTGGACTTGAAGGCAGGGACAAACTACCTGCCAACAGGAAATGGGATTCTGGCAATGCATGGCATGTAGTGACATCACAATTCATCATGCTATCACCTATGATTAAGTGATGAGAGAAGCACGTGCCGTGGGAGGCCAGGTGGCTGCAGCACTTGGCTATTCATGGCAGTAATGATGACCATAAGGACTATGGTATGGAATGAATTACTCAGAGCATGCTTGATTGTTTACCAAAAGAAAATCGCAAACTCATGTCCTTTAATTCTCAGCTTAAGTTATGGGCTGAGAACCAGAAAGCTTCCATTGCACTAAAAAGATTTTCTCATTTCTTGTAGGCACTGGACTGATCCACTTAAAATAAAACAAAAATTTAATTGTGTAGGTTGACGAATTACAACATCATTTAAATTCACAGTCTCACCAAGTTTTTCAAGTGAAGGG